TAATAATAATAATAATAGAGGTTTGAAATGACTGTTTGTTAGCGAGCCTCTCATGATTGCTGTACAACCTGTAAAAGCACCTTTGTTGGAGAAAGTCACCTGATCTAATGATATGAGATTCTTCTGGGAGGTTAGAATATTGTGTAATATGGTGGGAGCAGTTTTCCCTAAGCCACACCTGCAGCTATTGGTGCACAAATGTACTAAAGCTGTATAAAGACCACCTGTAGCTTACAAAGTACCATATCCCGTTTACTGTAATTGCAGCTGTATAGGATTAATTCTGTTTGGTTACTGTAGAATAAAGCACACCACACATAGGTAATGGACTTGCTGATTTTAATAAGGATAAATATAAACTATTTACCTAAATGGTTGCCAGGATAGACATAAGAATATATAGATGCGTTATGCATTTATAGAGACACTTATTTGTTTTGTTGTGCTCTGTTTCATTTACAGTTTGATCATGAAGAGTAATAGCTATATAGAGTGAAGGCAATTGTGTAATATCATAACCTCCGTCCAGAACATCATAAAAAGTACAATGTTCAACAGGCAGAAAAATAGCATGCCTTTAGCATTGTTAAAATGGAAGGCAACAGTAAATCATCTGACTGATCAGCAGTAAAATAAAGAAATGATATGAACACAAAGATAACATAAGGGTAGTTCAGCAAAGCAGAATGCATGTGACATTTTTATCACCACAAAATATTTGCTCATTTTTATGTTTAACAATTTCATTTTGAATTTACTAAAGGGAATGTTGCATGGATCAGTTGAGTTGACAAAATACAAATGTAGTATCAACGTTTGTGGCATTTGTATGTAAAAGTTCACACACACTATCGCATTAATATATCACTACATGTTTGTTTGATATACATTGTGCATTTGTATGAGGAGAGCAGAGAACAGAATTATTTAAACTGGAGATACCTTTAGAAAAAAAAAAATCTTGATTCATGAGGAATAAAAATTTGCAATAGCTTATGTTTCATGGGAAATATGACTGCCAGATTATGTTATATTTATGTATGAGAACGGAACATCTTGATGAGAAAATTACCATTAAACAAAATTACACAGATAAAAATATTTTTTATGTGATAATCAATCATTTGATAAGTGTTAGAGGTAAATAAAGCAATGTATACTGGCAGATTAATGTATTAACCCAATAAAGAAACTGACAGCACGTGGGATACAGTATAGTATATTATAGTATGAAGTTGCCTTTGTGCAATACAACTGCTGGGCTGTAATAAGTGAACTTTAACCACAATTTCTGCTGATAGCTGACATGTATAATACGAGCCATGACACTTACTTCATTCATGTGATTTCCTCTGTTCAACTACATTGCTGACATTTTGGATCTATACTTCTCAGTACAGTCGCAGGATATGTGAAATCTATTGAATGTGCCAAAGTAATGTTGCAGAAATAGCCTCATCCACATAAAGCCTTTTCTGAAGTGTCTTGGACTGTGCAGGAGACTTGACATGCATATGGAGTCAATGGACAAGTCAATAGACTCAGGATTCTATTGTCTGGCGTTAAAGTAGTATTAAACTCTTTTTACAATAGTTATTCCAGATCAAAGAAATATACATTGTCCAGTAAAATATTTGCTTACATTTTTGCGAAAGCACTTACAGTTATCATGTTTCCAAACAGCTGGCTCCAACTTTCTATCCTCAGCTTCCCCGAACTTCCTGTCCAGTATAAGATCAGCATTTTAAATAACTGAAAAACATTTTTACTTTTATATCAGCTTAAAGTGTAAGTGTAGTGTGGCTTTGCATGCTTGCCATATTGTGCAAAATGTAGTAGATCCCATCTCACTCCTGACCGGAGCTCTAAGCTGAAAACTACCAGCACTGAGTTATCTGCATGGAAAGTTATTGTAATGGGCCAGGCATGCTGGGTGATCATAAAAAAACTCTCCATAGGATTAGCACTAATTTACTAACTGAGATATCAGTGTGGATGTCTCACCACTTCCTTAAACTGAGGTCTTCATATTTCCTCCCCCTATGTACCTTTCCTTGATTTCTCCATTGCTCCTCCTTTGTCACTCTTTTTATTCTTAAGTATCATGCATTATGGAGGACACACAATCCCTTCAGATCAAGCAGAGGTGAATATAAGACTTGCTGGAGGTAGTGTAAAAATAAGTGAAACCTGACTAAAAGTGTTTAAACACAGCCGCGTTTCCTTCGGTCGCATGTTTTCATTTTTTTCAACAATAAAGCTAATAATATGAAATCAGCTACTACTGCTAGGGGTGAATGAACAAATTAGCACAAAATTGTGGCTGCACTTGATGCAGACACATGCAGATTTTAAGCAGTTTTAAGCCATCCTGGTTTGTGCCAAATTTGCTGCCATTTGTGCCTTTGTTTTGATATAGGAGGGCTTCCTCATCATCCTTAGCATTCTGTGTCACCCAGAAAATAACTATTCCTTCAGCTGACATTTATTGTGTTGTGGACTAGTGAGAAGGGTGGGGCAGCCTTAACATAGACACATTGTGCTGTTCAGGATTAGTTTCAGTGTATGAGACAGCTAACTACTCTAGCTACTCTATTGCACTAAGTCTTACACCGGGGAGCAGACTTCGCTCTCTGCAGGACACTGTAGTGTCTACTTAAAAAGAAAACTATGAGGTGAGTGAAAATCACTCATCCTCATTGTCTGAGCCTACGTGTGACAATGAAACTGTCACATGTCGACTCATTAGATCGGGAAGTGAGCGAACGCATACCGTCGCTCACTTCTCGATCATCTCCATGCAGAGAGTGGTGACTGTCAGTCACCACTCCCCGCAGGTATTCACCCCCTCCCCACTCCGATCCTTACAGCGCTGACTGGAGGAACGGACAGGGGAGGGGGCAGGTACAGCTGGCTCTGCCTCTAGATAGGCAGAGCCAGCTGTCATTCACGCAGCTGGGTGGATCTCGACAGCATTGTCGGGATCCTTCCCGCCTGCGGCGGTCTCAGTATACCGCGAGCTGTAGCTGGCGATATACTGAGCTTTGGGAGTATATGTCCTCCTGTGACCCTGGGAGTATATGTCCTCCTTGTTCACAAAGGCAGCAGACTCAAGCACAGATTGCTTTTAGAAGGTTATAGTGAAACTCGACATTTAGGGCTGGTGCAGACCTGGGTGATCCTGGAAGCGCGTCCCGGGACCATGCGATCATGCACAATTGCACACAGCGATTCCCGCGCAGCCCCATTGATTTCAAAGGGGTTACATCCATGCGTCAATCGCAGAAAAAAGGTACATGTACCTTTTTTTGCGACACAGGACACATGGCTGTTTTAGCCGTGATCGTGTTCGATTGCGCGGGCGGAATAAAAGCAGGAAACCACACAATCTGCCCAACGCAACTGGGGTGCCATTAGAAAACCATTGCACCGTCAGCACAACGGCGATGGTGACCGACTATCCGCGCGGTCAAAGATTGTGCAGGTGTGAACCTGGCCTCAGGAGGCAATATTGCTGCCTCAAATGCACTTCTTTCTCTCTTTTTTATCCTAATAGGTATTTTTTATTGCAATACAGAGCCGCGGAGGTTGCAGCGTGCTTTCATTGATTGCAATGGCCATGTATGGTAAGCAGCAACGCCGGCCAAATGCAATATGTTGTTTAAAATTTGCCACACTGCAAAGAATCATGGCATGTGCACAAGCATAAGTAGCTACTATACTAAGATTTAAGTAGGAGGTCGGGGGGCAATAAAAACACAGATCAACCACTTGGTTTATCTCCCCTCGGCTGCCCATTTGAATGAGGCCTATAAATGAAACAGAAGATTTTTTTCTTTGAAAAGCCATGGCACTTTTGTTTAAGTCCATTATTCCCACTGAGATAACACTTATCACTTCTCCTCTTTTTAATTGGTCTAGTACCGCTAGCTTTCTCCAGGTTGGGCAACTAATGAGGTTGCTCCTGTTTACAAGAACTATGTTAAAAGTAAAGCCATTCCCTGCAGCTGTCACTAACATATTACTTGCTTAGAAAAGTGAAACCTAAGTGGATGACATGAACAACTTTGTTTCTAATCTCTTTTCTGCGATTTTTGTATATCATCCCATTCTCTACAGTGCAGATATGCTTCTAACCTTAGCAAATCCCTTTCAGAGCCAGGATTAGCAGCTGGCTGGAGAACGTGAAGGCATTTTAGATAAAGAACACAGCAATGTAAGCTGCTACTCATGGGGGATCAAAGTAGGGGGACTGTGGTACTTGTGTACTGGGGTAGTGGTAGTTATTTTTAAATATTATAGTGTTTACTCATCTTTATTCACATTTTATATAAAGATGAATGTCCTCTGTCATACAATGGTATTAGTATATCTTGATGCTAGTTATTTATTAATGAAGCTGAACCTATTTATGCAAAGTGACAATTTATTAACACAGCAGTGACCACTGAGTTGGTACCAGATGAATAAATGGAAATACAAAGGATTATGTACTAAAACAGTTTGCATTGCACTACATTTTGTTACATTATGTATTCATATGTTATCAGGGTTGCTGTCTCTTCCTAATTCTGGAATTGGCAGGTATAGAAGAATGCAATGCAACATACCTCCCAACATTCTGAGATGAGAAAGAAAGACACCTAACAGCAC